CGCCAGACGATTTTTAATACTCAGTCAGTGGTAGGGTACTGCCAATAAATGGGTTAACAAGGATAACAATAATTAGCCTGCATGGCAGGCGGTATTTCCCAGGCTTGCCCAATTTTAGGAACCGCCTGCCATGCAGGCTAAACAATAATAGGATGTTTCTGAAGGACTCGTTTAAAACCCTGTAGTTTGTCTGTTGCTGTCAAAGGCAGCATTTCTGCCCTGTGGGTAACCTAGTTCTTAAAATATATTGGTATATTTCAGAGAAGGAATAGTTCTAAATCCCGCTTGTTAATATAAATTATATTATAGCTAATTTTAATCATTTAAATGAGCACATTAGATTGATGAAACGAGCAAATTTAAATGACCTCTCCCTGAATATGGCTTCTGAAGATTGGACTGCTGTATATTCAGCACTGGATGTGGATGAGAAAGTATCAGCTTATAACTCCATTATAATCAAGATGCTTGACGAGTTCTTACCTGAAAAAACCATCAGAGTACATCACTCTGATAAACCGTGGATCACTGGTAAAATGCAAATCAAAGCTCGTCAGAAAGCTTTTTCTCGTGGTGATCAGCCAAGATACAAACAACTCTGCGAGAAAGTGGCAAATTTTATAGCTAAAGCTAAAGCCACCTACTATCGGTCCAAGGCCTCAGAACTTCGTACCTCGAATCAATCGAAGTGGTATAACTGTATCTATACTCTTTAGTAAATGCCGAAAACACAACCCACACCCAATTTCCACACAGGCTCGAAAACCTATAGTTTGTTAGACGCCGGTTTTACTCAAATCCTATAAAAATATCAATTTTACTCTTCTCAAAGGTTGTTCTAAAAAAAGATGTTCGCGTTTTGTAGTTGCTTTAGGGGTTGATAAGTTACGGCATATTCATTCCAGACCTTTGCTATATTGCAACTAATTGACAACAAAAAGCTTGTAACTTGTTTATTATTTGAATAAAAAGCTCGCGCGCACACCGTTTTGTAGCTGAAATATGTACATATGCTGTGTGGAAATTTGACAAAAATCGGTTTAAACGCACGTTTACCAAATTTATTTAGTGCGTATATTCGACTCAAAATTCAAGTGCCTCAAAAAGCGCTTTGAAAATTTCGCGGGTTTTCTTTCAGTGTAATCAGGTACTGCGCCTACTGTGACTTACTGTCATTATAAAGTTAATCCGATGACAGATAACGTTTGCGGCAAGACCACAATATATAATCAAGTCATGCCTAAACGAAAAGAAAGACAAACCAACGCGCCACAAAAAAGCGCAGAATCTCAAAAGCGACAAAAATGCAGAACGATAGAATTCAGCTGATGGCGATGTGGACCACAAAGAAAAACTAATGACAACGATGAAAGATAAAGTCTTAAAGGGTAAGAAAACTTAGTTTATCGCATTTTCATCTGACGATATTTTGCTAGTTGACGTTATAGAAAGCCATGCATTTGTTCTCTCTTCAGTTACGATGGAGCAAATATTATCAAGAATATTGAGGCTCATGGTGTTGAAGATTGGCTACACTGTTAATTTTAGGGTGTTAAAATAACACCAAAAAGTGGTGTTAAAAAATTAGGTAAAAAATAACACTACTTTTTGGTGCTATTTTAACACCACTAAAAAAGTGTTAAAATAACACTAGATATGGTGCTAAAACAAC